GAGAAAGCGTGTTTCGATAGCCACATTTCTTCAACTACAGCCGCCATATTTGTTTTTCTTTCAAATTTCCTGCCTTGTTCCCAGTACTTCACGTTATTTTTCCGACCAAATGCTGACCTGATCGGCGGAGATCGGCCGACAGTTACCGATCGATTGTAATTTGAATAAAGATCGGCAATGCCGACTGTACTCGCGCGAAGCACGCGCAATTAGCGGAAAACTTGAGTGAATGCACGTGTTTACATGCTTCTTCGCGAGGAAAGACCCACGCAACACAGACACAACAGAAAGAAAGTTATATTCTAATTCGCTACCCCGCTCAAACGAATATAAAACAGTTATAATAATTCAATAAGTAAACACAATTGGGGTGTGTCAACACGAGCCGTAGGCGACCCTCTTTATTATGCCTTCATCAAAAAAATTGATAGGAATGGTACATCAACGAAATGAAAACTCGCAAATGTAAAAAAATAATAATAACAAAGCAAGAAAAACCACCTCACAAGACAATCTAAGCTATGTTCGTATATGCAGAACTACTTCTAAGAGAAACTGACAATCCCTAGTCATTGGGTATTTAATTTGGAGGGCGTGGGGACGGTCGTAAGACGCGAACATAAAAGACAACACCTCGAATATTGTACGTAGCCTACCGCTAATGAAGCAACTGTAACAACATACCATGCAACACCCCAAAGAAATGGTTACGTAACCCATGATAAATACAGAAAAAGAAAAATCCGATCGAAATAGATTGAAGCCAATAACACTGAAGCTCCCGAGGATAAAGTCTTCAAGGTACTTTCAATATTACCATATCTTTTGATTTTATTTCCATTAAAAAATTCATTTGATATTTCCACTGTTAATCCGAGGAAGATGTTACTTAAAGACTAGTTTAATGTTCTTTCACAAGGTCAAGCTCGATGGGGATGGGGCTGCTTTAACCCACAACAGTGGCCTTGTTGTTTTTTCATTCTCACTGTTGGATGATGGCCAAGCTGTCGTGTCTAGTTCAGGTAATGTATTTATGTGCAAATTTGGCAGCATATATCTCTTATGAAGGGAATGCCATTTTTTACAAAATAATCCTTGTTTACCTTTAATTTATCCAGGAAATCATACAATCTCAGTGATTAAGTGTAAGGAGGACTATGATGCTTTAAGAACCAGCCTCCAAAATATCATTGAAGTTAACTCCCTCTCAAAAGAAAAAGTCCTAGAGTTGATGGAAAGCAACTGAAAACCCAGCTCTATCTTTGTGGTGACTAGACCCNTGTTTTTCTCGTTGCCATGTTCCCACCAATAACGTAGCTCCATTTTCTGCCTTTAAAAGCACACACAACCCACAATTCCTCTATTCGCTCCGACGAAGGGCTAACGCTCGAAACGTCAGCTTTTGTAATCGTTACGGTGGCCAATTTACCATTTCAACTTTGTTGATATATCCAGATTATTTCGTTACTCCCACCGACGCAGCCCCAAACAGTTTCTTTCGAAACTATCAGCCTTTATCCCTATGCTTGCATCGCAAGTAAATACTGAGCTCAATATTGGAACAATAGTTTATGATAAACAAAACAGCACCCTTTTGAACTTTCATTCCACAAACCTTTACAGTAAAATCTAGAACAGTGATTTTCTTGCACTAAATCGTAACCAAGTCATATTTTCTGTCTTTGAGGCCTAATTTAGTTTCACATCATATTCCTCATAATGCTCATTTACCAGTCTAACGATTCATACCCTAGTATGGAAATCAAACCCCCATTTCTATTGACCACCCAAATTACATTCGCTTATCCAATTCACGAGTTGGCTCACAGAGCCTTTGATTTATTTTGACAACATCTCGGAAGTGATTCTTTTAGCTATTAACTGAAGGGCAGCACGAATTACTTTCAACAACAGACTTCGGAAACTTAATCAGAAATGAATGAACGTAATTCTCAACAGACATCAACAACTAAGTACATAATACACTTTATTATTAACGACCTTGAAATGACCAACAAGCCGAACAGAACAACCTAACTTTACTGACTGATCAAATTAAATCAATCACAACTGAGTTACTCGAAGCTACTCGAGTCCTAACAGCCAAGAATATCCATGAAAATTGAAAAATTATTTTTCACTAGAAAGGCTTAAACATTTTACTAAACAGCAACTCATTGCCAGACTCGAGTGATAACTTACGCTCAGGATGTCCAGGTGTCAGTTAGTATCCCTGAAAAGAGTTCATTTTAGGTAGACCTCTTCCATAGGATCTAACTTCATAATTCACAGTTATTTCTGGTTTGAAAACTATTTGCTAAATATAGAGCCTCCCTGAGGTCTTTGATTGGTTGTTTTGATTATTTTACTCTCGATGAACAGGAAACATTATCGGAAGGAAACATTCGTCTTATATCCTATTCAACGAAAATGATGCGAATCGTTTGGTTATCGACGGGGATGCAGGCACATGTTTTAAAGCTAGAATGGAAATCGCTCACTGGTTCTGGAAGGTGACCCTGGGGAAAAATGTTCGAGTGGAGCTTGTTTTCATATTATTACACGCCAAATTTCAATATCAAAATGTGAAAATTAAAATAGGTAAGTCTCTTATTTAATTATTTCCTTTATATTACTTTCCTTTTTTTTCGTGTGCCTCTTTTCTTAAATTTATGATTCCTACAAAATTAAATACGTATGGTAACCATAAAACTACATTATACATTACTATTAGCCAAGAATACATTTAAGATAAGTTAAGATCATCCTCAATATTTGATTACTCAGGAAAAAACAAAAACAACACCAACGATATCGACATTAGTGTTGTAAAAGTTATGGGTCAATGTTATCCTTTTGGGCGATCTTCCAAGACTTTATTCCCCATAAATTGGGAAAACCAGACAAATTTGCTGAAAATGGCTTATAACTTAAAATGTTTATAAAATCAGTTAATTTTGTTAGATGAAAAGGAATGTCTTTCAATCAGAGCATATGGAGCAAGAAGAGGAAACTACTTTGAATGCCGTCAGCCTATTATTGGAAGTGAATTGCGGATCACGTGGACAGGCGAAGTTTCAGAGTATATACAGATCTGTGAAGTGGAGGTTTTCCAAACGAAGATAAGTAAGAACGTAGTTTCTTAGTTTAATGTTCATCGACCTTCTCAGACAAACCTCTAGACAGAGCTTTGATGTTTAATGAGTTTATTGCTTACTCTTGATATGTCATTTCTTTTAGTAAACCTGGCAGGAAAGCGTCCCACAAAGTCCTCGACAAATGAAAAGGAATCACACATAGGCTGCGATCAAAAACTTGGTAGGTGCAGCAAAATAAAAAAAAAAAAGACGGTAAAAAATATACGTAGAGAGTTATATAGATCTTATGATAGGTGTATTCTACACTAATATGGCATGAAAGACATTTCAGTTCATCTTTTCGGCCAATTTCCTTTGACTGTTGCAAAGCTATAGTTAAAAGACCTTTTTGTCCAACTTTGTGAATGGCCATTGTTGCTTACCCATTTCAGACAAACCCTTCTCCACTGGAGGGAAACCCAGCTCAAAGGAAATAAAATGGTGGTCGGTTGATTTGATAGCATTATGCAAAATCCATCTGGTGCGTATTGTGACAGTCTCAGGCTGCAAACCGCAACACCTCAAAGGTCTAAAAATTCTTATTGGTGAGTAAACACGGATTTCTCTTGTATGTGAATGATCTTGATAGCTTCAGTTGGCATGATAGGTATATATGTGACCCGCTATTGTCTTTTTTCGGAAATGATTCCATGTGAAATACATTAGCTTTACGGCAAGAATGTTAACTTTACCGAGAAATTCTTCAGTTTGAAGCGGATATTAACTGATGTTTTATCATTAACAGATGCAGGTGAAGATGCTTTCGGAAAAGGACGTTTAGTAGCTAGTCTGGATTCTCCAACTAAAGAACGTGTTCAGACTATAATTCTTCAAAAAAATATCCTAGCACGGTTTGTTACCCTTGCCCTTCAGAATGAAGGGCAGGAACTTCGATTCCGAGAGGTAGAAATCTACAATGGTCCCTTGCTAGGTAACAATATTGCATCCTTTCTTCTGAAATACATATTGAAATGCCCACTAAATTTATCTAAGTATATGAGTCATTGCACAGTACCTAAAAATTAGTTTCATACCTGCGCAAGGCTATGACTATTGAAAAGGACACTTGACAAAGGCCAATGAGACTCTAAGGCCAACCCTGTCATTTAGATACCGTAAAGATTAGATTTAGGTCCCTCCTTCTAATTTGCGCCCCCTCTCAAATAAGGGCCCTTACTGAGTAAACACCCTGACTCCACTAAGGGTCTTTAATCAAATAAGCGCAATGATAGCGATGTCACAGTACAAGTTCACTGAGATCAACCGTGGTTCATCTTTGTTTCATTGCTCATTTAAGCCTAATTACCAAAACAGGTGCCCCTTAATAGTTGAGAGACTGAGGTCTCTTAACTCTTATGTACTGTGAGTGCACAGGTCCTTCAAACGTCTTAAATGTCGATCTCGTCGTAAAATTCCGTGGCTATTGCTTGGATTTTGTTTGTAACTAGGAAAGATCCAGGGACGTCAAGTCCATTTTCCAGTTCTCTTGATCCTTTTTTAAATAAACATCAAGGCCTTGTATCTGCTTATTCTCATGAAAGAATAAGCGCCCTGTCCCCAATAAACGCCCTGTATCGAATAAGCACTCTCCCTTCAAGTAACTAAAGTAAGGAAGCGCCCTGGGCGCCAAATCGAAAGATAACGGTGGTTAGTATGCCTGGTATAATCATCATTACCGAAAAAGATTCAGCATCAGGTAGCAATTGGGTTTTAAGCACACGCATTTATTAGCTCTTACGAAAGGTTACAACTTTCACCAGTTACCAATTCAGCACACACGCTTTTAAGAATGAATTCCTTTTTTTCTGAGGTATTCATTTTGATATTCATTGAAAATATCTTTAATTTTTTTCCAAGCTATTGATGAATGTAAAAAACCTAATATTTGTCCAAGCGACTTGAAATGTGTGGATGGGAAGAAATCCCCTGCATGTGTGTGCCCTGATGGATTCAGAATGATTGGATCTAACAAATGTGAAGGTAACTTCTGATATAAGTCTTTTGGGTGTAACAAAGGTAAGAGCTCCCATGGATATAATACATCGTGATTCTTCTTCACTGTCAAGGTGTAACAAAGCTACATTTCTTAGTTTGTTTGATACCATGTAAGGAAGAAAGTACACACCTTTTTAACCTCCAATCTCTTTTGAGGTCAAAGAGGAACGCTTCCTCGGGTTCCCTTAAAAAAAAAGAAAACCATAAAATGTGTATAAAGGCATCTCACATCAGCTCAAACCTATTGTACAGCATGTCTTTCTCAGAGAGTTGATGACTGACAAACCCAATAATTTACAGCTGATATTAAAACATAACTTACAGCTAATATTAAACTTCGCATCCCACTTGCTCTCGTTATCTCTTTTGTTTACCTACCCCAGCTCCCCCTCATTCTGCCGCAAGCCTCCCTCAACTTTATCTTTTTTTTTCATCTTCAATGTACAAAGCAATGATCGACGTATCATACAATCCATTACTAACTACTTTCAGATGCTAACGAATGCGAAGATCCGAGCCGGAACAGATGTGGAGGTACAGCTGTGTGTGTTAATACAGTGGGTTCTTACAACTGCACCTGTAAGCAGGGACACAAGTTCGACGAAAATGACCTTGAATGTAAAGGTTAGTTTATCTTTAATTCGCTCATTTTGCTTAAGGCCTTAGCCCTTGTAAAGAAAATAGGAGACGTGACTCACAGTCAATAGGATCAAAGTGGACAACTGAAAATTTCTTGGTGAAGTAACAGTTGCCCATTACGGATATAATCTATCGTTTGGTGATAAAGAAGTTCTTATTCACTGAAAAAATATTACAAACCTGCATTTTTTTTAGTTTGTCGATGCTCTCTTAGGAAGTAAATCAAGGACATTTTAACAGTTACTCTCTTTTGAGGTCAAAGAAAAACATTTTCTTAGGGTTTCATTTTACCAAGAAAGGAACAAAGCGCTGCAGAGCAAGGCTCGATTGCTTTACACAGATTAATAACAGATTACTGAACGCAGAAAAAAAGCGGTTCCTTTAGGAGCCACCAAATATTTAAAAGTACTGACCACCACATCATTCCCTCCTTCCAAAGCTCTAAAAAATGAACTTTCTCTGTGTAATAAATGATTCTCCCGCCTTTTAAGCCTGAAAATGTTACTTATGCTGCTAGTTATTTAACAAATTCCCAAGTCACGTGACGTCTTTCCTATTATTTTTCCGATTTGCATATAACCTACGCATTCTTAAAAGGCAGAGTTCAAAAAGAATCCTTGAAAGCCTTTGAAAAATACTGAAAGGAAAATGTTGCTTTTTTGTTTTCCTTACCCCATTTAGACTGAATATTTTGACCGGTAATTTGGAAATTATATATCACATGACCCGATTTTGACCTTAAAAAGTACCTCTTATTGCTAAGGACGATAGGTTGCACTAGAAGTGTAGGTCTTATGAGTATTGATTGTGCCGAACCATTCGAAATTGCATTTTGTAATACTATGCATATTTGATTAGCTAGCCAAGCCTTCATACACTTGAGATTGTCGCCTGANTTTTTATTGCAGAAGCATCACAAGCTCTTTCTGCATAGGAATCACTGCTGCCCTCATGTTGAAATTCCTGGACATCTACTTCAATTGCAAACAACAGCTGTCATCAGATCAGTGAAAGTTACCCTGAGGACCTCAAGAAATTGCAAAAAAAGAACTAGTTGCTATTTTTCAAATTAAATTAGGCAAACCTCCTTTAAAGAAAAAAGGGTGGACATCATTTCAGATATAATGGCATGGCAAGATGGTAACTCTACCTGAGGCCTGGGGGGAAGAACTCCCAGAAAAATTAGACGGGGGTGTGCACCCCACTCCCCAAAACCCTTACCCTATTTATGACCAAACTCTGTGATTTTCCCCACCCTATTTATCACCTTACCTGATATTCAGTACCCTGTTTAAGGCAGTTGATCTAAACATTATTTGTGAACGACTATATTTGATGGTCCTATCGATAACATGAAAAAGAAGCTTTTTGAAAAAACATAATTATTTCAAGACCAAAGGGCAAAAACCGTACCCTATTACAGACCAAAATGGTCAAAGTCAATACCCTATTTACGACCAAAACGACTGAAAACCCATACCCTTGGGGGCTGCAAAGTGCACTCTCGATGGTATTTTTCAGTCTCTCGAGGTTCTCAGCAGAAGCATGTCCTCTGGGGGAGATGGATTTCTGAAATAGCAGGACAAAAAATGGGATGCATTTCACAGCGAGAAGCTAATCCGGTGGAAGAAAGTTTGGTACATGCGAAAATCTCCTCCGAATAAAAACATTTACTTTCTTTAAATGCTTGCGCATGAAATAATCAACGGTAGCGCCGGGTGGTCTACCAGGAATCGGCAGAATTTCATTCAAATTTTGCTGTTTATTTAAAAAATACGAGCAGAGTTAACTAAACGGAACGTGTCTAACACTTTTGGCATCTAAAGCAGGACTTACCGTGAAATACCGTGATCCAAAATGTGGGATTCTGACTCCCACGTGTTGTGTTCGGACCCCCAACCTCGCCACTTGATCAGATAAACAGGCTTCTCACACTACAATAAAAATTCATTTATAGTCAATTTTTGTCGATATTTTGACGGCTTTTTTTTCCAGCTTTATGAAGGTTTGTCATGGCAATCGTTCGCTATCCTTACCTTTGCGTTCTTCACCGCCACCAACCGCTCAGCCTTGAAGACACCCTTCAGCGTTTTCCTTTTCTTTTTTTTTTGGCTCAACATCCAGAACATCCGCCATTGACACTTTATTCAAGTTGGCATAAAAGTTTAAGCTGCGATTATCTCGAGAAATTTTTCAGGTGTCCTTGATATACTTAGGCTAAACTCTCGTTCGAAACTGAAATCCTAAGTAAACCCTTCTTGTCTTCTCGCGCGAAGACAGCCACCACCGACGAACCAATCGGGTAAAAGGAATGCATGACGTCACTTTACTTAGCCCACTCCCGCGCGGGAAATTTTTGGTTGACCGCGCGGGAACAGGAATTCTACGCGATGAACCATTCGAAATTGCATTTTGTAATACTATGCATATTTGATTAGCTAGCCAAGCCTTCATACACTTGAGATTGTCGCCTGAGTCGTTGCATTTCCAGTCTTCAACTGGCTTATTTCTCTTTCTCGTGGACTAATTTCTGCGTCATGCGCCGTAATGGGTGGAAGAAAAATTATGCCAGTTCGCATTTCTGCCTCGGAACATGCGATGGCTTTTCTAACTTAAACTTCGAAAGCATTTTCGTGGAGTTCTTTAACTAGTGATTAGCGTAAGACGTCAAGGAGGCGAAACCAAAATAAACGTTTTTTTCTTGCCACACGGGTCTTTACAATCTATGAGTTACATTAGCATTTTAATTTCGATGTGGACTTTTTACTGTAGAACAAGAGAAAAACTGAATCTCTAATATATCGTAGAGTTTAAAGGCTGATAGAGGATTAATGAATTTGCTTCAGTCAATTCTCCCTAACTCAGACGCAGTGTGTAGAATGACTTTCTCACAGAGAAATCGCTGGCGTCGATGACAAGCGCATATGATTTACAGCTAAGCGTCCATGAAACGTCTCACCCATGTGGTCTCTCCATCTCGTCTATCTTTTGTTTACCATCCTTAGCCCCGTCTCCTCGCCCTAAATCTCACTTAACCCTATATTTTTTTTTATCTTCAATTTGCAAAGCAATGATCGGTGTATCATATAATCCACTACTTACCACTTTCAGATATTAACGAATGTGAAAATCCGCTCTGGAACAAGTGTGGAGATACAACTACGTGTGTCAATGTACCAGGTTCTTACAAGTGCTCCTGCAGAGAGGGATATAAGCTTCAAATAAGTGACCTTAAATATCAATGTAAAGGTTAGTTCATCTGTAAATCGCTCTTTTTCGTAAGCACTCCCCATCTCTCGCAAAGTAGAAACGATACGTAACCAACTGTTTAACTCTTAACAATGCCACCTCTAAATCAAACATCAAGGTGATTCCTCAAAAAAAAAGTTTTCAAAATGTTTTTCTAACACTTTCCTGAAATGTTCCCTACCAATGTCTGTTTCGAAAAAAAGGAATAAAAAAGATCGGTAGCTGCGCTTGTTTATGAGATATGACGGGTCAAGTTTAAGTTGTTAATACCTGTACTGGCATTGATCGCGCGCGTTATTTCATCGGTTCACGGTATATTATGCGGTAGCTAGAAGTAAGGGCTTTTAAAGCAACAATTGAAAAAAAACTTGATAGGACAAATTAGATATATAATTTGGGGAGAATCACCCAATTTAAAACGACATCGACTCACAACGTTCTTGGAGTCGTTGCTTTCAAGGTTGTAATTTCCATCATCGAGTAACGGGCTCCATGGACGCTTTTTGCTGTTTATTTTTTCCCATCGATGATATTTTGCTTAATTTCTATAATTTAAAGGGGATACTTTGTACACAAAAAGTTTGCAATTATGAATATAGGTCACCATGCTCGTTTAGGAGCAAGAAACCATCGCAATTTTTTATCTAATCTATCTACCTAAGCAAAAATGCCATGTTCTCGGAATGCGCGCGTGCATATTTACCTGATTACGTGATATTTATGCGCAGCACAGGATGCGCAGGGCAATAGTGAGGAATTACCATAGAGTAACGAGAACAAAGGAAAATTATCACCAACTTAAGAAGCTTTTAATTGCATAGGTAGAAAATTTTCCTTGTCAGCACGTTATGGAATGTAAAGAGAACAGCAAAGAGAATATAACTTTATGGCAATTCAGATAAGAGGATTGGTACATCACTTCCATCTCTGCGTATATAGGAACTTTCTCGTGATAAACATTTTGAGTCCGTTATCCCCCGTAAGCCTATCGATATTTTTTTCTTTTCTAGATATCGATGAATGCGCAACAAAAGATTCATGTCATGTGGACGCCTCGTGTTATAACACCCCTGGTTCTTACAAATGCACGTGTTACCGTGGATTAGGTGGAGATGGCTACAAGTCCTGCTCAAGTAAGAAAGCCTATCATTAGCAAACAGCTTAAATGTTGTCTGGCCTTTGATGAGGTTAAAATGAACACAATTATTTACCCCTTTGAGCGATCATCATGGCTATTCAACTTTCAAGTTCTCCTATAAGCTGATGTTTGTAGATCTAAAATCGTTATATTTCCCTATGCGAAACTTTCTAAAACTCCATTGACTAGATTTGTTTACTATACCAGGACTACCTCCCTGCTCCAATGGCCAGTGCAATGAGAATGCAATTTGTAAAGATTTCAATGGCAATTACCTTTGTGAATGCAGAGGAGGCTACTATTTCAATGGAAAGATGTGCGTTGGTAAGTAGCATTATCTTCACTGTCGTTGTTTAAAGAAAAAAGTGTAAAGAGTAAGCACCGTTGTTGATTGATTCAGACGCAGCATGTACTTAATAAAAATTTTGGAAGATTGACGCATGAAATGTGCCTGTTTGGTCCGTAAGTACACTGATAACTTTATGTCTTCTTTTCTCATCCTACAGAAATAAATGAATGCAAATTGAACAAAGATATCTGTGGTTCAAATTCCGTTTGTTCAAATACTTGGGGATCTTACCGCTGCAACTGTGAAGTTGGCTTCGAGAGTAGAAATGGCGATGGGAAAAACTGTTCCGGTGAATTTTAGTTGATATAACCTGCTAATATAACCGAGCTAGCTTCTATATGGGATAAAACCCTTTTCACCAACCGGGAAAATCTTTTATCGTAAAAATGAGATTTGTAAGATGTATGTACTGTTCACCAGCCGGGAGGAGGTTAGTTTTGTAGTACACTGTGCTCGACGTCTCGAAAACGGCTCGAGGTCGAAGGCTAATGATAAGGGTCGTACTCAATCCAGTCATCCCTCAATGAATACGTGAGACAATACGTTTCTTAACAATGTCTTTTGACATGTGTTATTATAGAAATCGATGAATGCGAGAAACGGGAGATATGTGGTGATTCAGCAACTTGTGAGAACACTGTAGGGTCATACAAATGTAAATGCCCGGATGGATTTACTTTCGATACAAAAACAAGGACATGTGCGGGTAAGAAACATTATTTCTTTCTTCATAATAAGCACGTTTTGCTCTACATCCACATTTACTTGTAATAAACCATGTGATTGTAGAATTTTAAGGTTACTTCCTACCCTCGCGGTGTCCTTCGGGAAAAAATTCGTACGCGCGCTAGTTTGAAGAAAACCCTAACAAACTAGACATCAAATCAAAGCTTAATAACTGCAGTTTACGATAAAAATATAGTTTAGGAAATTTATTTCATTTAGGAAGTGTCAGGAGCCGGTAAGGCGTGAAACAACCGAGGGTCCTTCTGTAGGTGGTTTGCAACCAATCTCTAGAGACACAGGTAACAATGGTGAAAGGAGCAAGTGCTGGTGGACGAACAAAAGAAGCTAATGAGATATCTATTGTTTACGTCCACCAACATGGCGGCAATGACGTAACGTGCAAACCACCTATTGAATTTATCGGGTATAGGTACGGGTCCGCAAATGATCCCGGACCTCAAATGATCCCCAAATTGGAGCGCAAATGATCCCCAGATTGGACCGCAAATGATCCCCAGATTGGACCGCAAATGATCCCGGATCGCAAATGATCCCGGACCGCAAATAATCCCGGACCGCAAATGATCCTTGACCGCAAATTATCCTTGACCGCAAATGATCTTTGACCGCAAATGATCCCGGACCGCAAATGATCCCGTATCCCGTACCGCAAATGATCCCCACACCGAACCGCAAATGATCCCAACTAAAAAATAAGGAATGGCATGGATTGATATGAAAACACGTTTTATTATTTTATAAGAAATATTCCGTAGCTGATTTTTTTTTTCCATTTTAGCGGAAAATCTGTGAAATTGCTTGAGTTTCTGTCGAGTAATACACACCGTTTTAAGGGCCAAAGATTTTGTCGATTTCAAGACCTTTAGTGTAGTATAATAATTTTCTAAAGACATTTGTTGTGATCATGGACTGCGAATCTTCTGTTTATTGTGTAGAAGGTTGGAGAACATGCCTAATCGAGTTTCATTTCTGTTGCATATGATCAATGCTTCCGGTGCACGTGTGATTTCAGTGAAATCGAGCATGTAAAAATCACAAGGACAACGGAGAATTAAAATGCACACATAGTATGATAGCTGTAAAAAAAACTTGAATTTCCGCAGTTGATTTCACCGATTACCTGTTGAAATAAAAGTCTTTTGTTCAGCATCCTCGTTAAAAATTGTACCCAGAGTGGGGATATCGCCTTGCTGGGCCATGAAGCTCAGCTTCGTTACCATAGCCTGGAACCAACAACATCGCAGAATTCCCAACTAGCAGTTGTTCTGGCAAGAAGTACGGCAAGGGGAAAATAACTAAAGAAACTTGCCCCAGATGTGAAAGGCAGTTCGATTGTTACTCACACGGTGTCTTTCAGAGCGTTGAAGGTGGAGCGTTACAGGTTTATTCAGACGACAGCGGTTTTTGCAACAGTTGCCTTCTGGAGGAGTTTTAGTTAGGAACTTTAGCTGAGGACACACATGGCAACCAAAAAGCAAGCAGCGCTGCCTATGTTGGACGGAATCTTATTATCTAAAACATTAAGTTCTTGTTATTGTTACTGCCGTTGTTATCAGTCGTATGACGTTAGTGGACTGATTAGATTTGATTTGAAGATACTGTAAAACCAAAATAACAATGTTTAGCTGAGCAGAGATACGAGGCGTATTTTGCGTCATAAAGGAAAATCTGTTAAAGGGATTCTGGTTGCAAAGAAAACAAAACTTCTGGCCTGCAATTCAAATCAGCAGTTTAAGTTGTCAGTTGTCAGTTGTTAGAGTTAATAAAAAAAATTCAGCACGAAGTGTGGAAAAGATGCTAGTTGTGAGCCATGATAATCACTCTTCACACCAATTCCCTATCCACACTATTTCAGCATCCATGCCATTCCTAATTTTTTAGTCGGGATCATTTGCGGCCGGTTTTGGGGATCATTTGCGGTCCTGGGATCATTTGCGGACCCGAAAATATCGGACCCGCGGCACGAGAAAAATGGCTGCACAGTCTCATTTACAAGGCATCAATCAACAAAAGTGTGTCAGGCTTTTCCGATATTCTGATTGGTTGTCTAGGTATTCCCATCAAAAGTTAGAATAGCGAAAATGTGCGAAGCGTGTTACAAAATTGGAAAACAAATATTTTAAAAATCAAAATTTCCTGACACAATTTTGTTTGTCATCATTCCAGGAATGTTTTGGCGAAATTTCACGAAAATCGGTCAAATCTATATATCCTATAAATTCGCTCAAAATGGATTTATTCCTCTCAAAATCAAATGCGAGATTTTAGCTCCTAAAGGTTTATAAACAACCAGCGCCACACCAGGAGATTATCTCGCCTCCTGAAACCGCAAACCAATGAGAAGACGAGACCTAGCGTCAATGACAATGGATCTAGATTTTCCCGCGAAAAGTATCGCGTAGCAGTCACGTTTTTTATCTCGCTCTGTTGATCGTTTAGAAATGGACAAAGTCGGTGAAGGAAAAACCCGCGGCAGAAAGGGTAAATCTGTCACATTCTTCTTTTTCTCCATCGGTTTCGTCAGATTCCGACGAAGAATCTTGTTTACAACCTTCTGTTGCGTTGACTTTAATTCTTAAGCTGCTTGCCCCGAGGATAATCGAATGCTGCCGATCTTCAGCGGATGCCGAGCTTGTCGAAGGCTCCCAGCCAAACCAACAGCCTTTGTCGCTTTCAGCAAGAACTGTTTTTTTTTTTCTTGACAAAATGCTGCCACTTCTCTCTTCTTTGGGCCTATTTTTTTTTTTTGTTTGTTTTTTTTTTACCCAAGGACTCCTCTCTAATTTTGAGTTATGTTTTTTATCAATGAGAAAAGACTTTCCACCAGCAGACAACTTCCACTTGTGAATTTTGTCAAGTGCGCGATTTAAACGAAATATGCAAACGACCTGAAATTACCGCGAATAGTCCCCCGGGGGGGTTCACCCATTTACGAGATTATGACACCTTCCTGATTTATTAACTTTTATATGAAAATACGTTTTTCTGAATGGCGGTCGCTTTTTGCAGACTTTTAAATTTTTTCTTGTAAACGTTAGTTAAAATGTCTAACTTCAATCTAGTCCAAAAAAAAAAAATTTTTCGGCCTCCGAAGGTAGGAAGTAACCTTAAAGTTTTGAGCGCGATTACTCTGGTTTATATTCCATCTCTTCTCTCTTGCAGATCTTGATGAGTGCACGATTAGTCAGTCGTGTAATCCCAACATGATTTGTACAAACACATTTGGATCATATACCTGTAGCTGTCGCCAAGGGTATCGTTCAGACAAAATGCAATGTGCTGGTAATAATGGAGAAGAGGATACGATTTTCGAGTTAACTGTGTTTGGAGTAATACATAAAAACCGAATTCGAGTGTTTCATCAGGGGTTTCAAACACCGAGAAACAGATGGAAAAAAAATAGGCCGCAGGCCGAGTGCTTTTATTGTCTCGAGGTCTTTGGAACCCCTTATGAAACACGAAGCACGAGTTTTTGAGATGACTTCTCAAACGAAAACATTAAAAAATGTTCAGGGATACAGTTTTTTCATTAATTGTGCTCTCCAAATAAAAATAATATTTATGCAGCGACGCAATTTTGCCATTTTCCGTAACCTAACGTTAACATGCGTACATGATTACTTGTTTTAATGTGTAACAGTGGATGAAGACGGAGCAGCAAGATTAAGGGAACTTAAAACGGTCTAAAAAGAACTCGAGTTAGTCGAAAAAGTTATTTCATCGTAAACTAAATGTAAGAACAAATGGATCGGCTACAGCTCTCCGCCGTCTTAGATCAGAGAGCGCTTTTTAAAATACTTTGATTTACTAAAGGTCGCACAACTTTCAATGGATGCAGTAGTCTTGAATTACTGGCTTAGCAAGTTTGTGGTGGTGGTGGTGGCCAAGAATCTGGGGGAGAGAAATCCACCGAAGACCCTTTATGAAATATTTAGGTCATTTTTGGAATTGTTGGTCGCAACAATGTCAATAGAAAAAAACACGGTTAACTGGTGCTTGCCTTAGGTCAGTTGGATGATTCTGTGTTCCTGCAGTCGGTAAAAGCCATTTAGGTGGCTTGAAGTAAAGTTTCGCTGGGGCTGCTTGAAGCCAAAAATACCACAGATATTTTATAATTGCGGTAAAACCGCAGTAGAAAAACTCGTTTCACAGTGCGAGCTTTTCATTCCCGCTTCGTCTGGACGCTTTATCATTAATTTGAGACAGGGATATGGATGTATATAAAAGGTAAAAAATTTTCTAAAGGACGTTGGGAGAGATAATTTTGCTTACTGACAATTTTCTGGTACCTCTCCGCGGGTGCGAATTTGTCACGTTTTGTGTGGTCAGTGAGCGAAAATTTTAAATTTATGTCCATGATAATAGCTGAAAAGTATTACAATTGAGAAGAGAGCATCTTTATCATTACTCATTTATTTGTTATCTTTGTTTTCTTCACCACTCCCTTTATGGCACATTTCCATAAAACGCTGAATTTCATGTCAACGTGATATGGAGTTTCTCTCCTCCAAGACCCTTTTCATTCAGGGGACTTTTAAATTGCTGTTTCTCTATTTAAGTGACGTAGCCATGTTCCCAAAATAGGGAATCATTTCGAAGAGGTTTTCTCGATTGAGTTGTTGATATAAATCACGAATCAATTGCGAACACAACGGGATGGAAAGTATTGTGTCATTTCTGTTTTTTCTGTTTTGTATAGAAATCGATGAATGCCAGGAAGAAAGATACGACTGCCCCAAGTTCTCAAGATGTAAAAACCAAAATGGCGGCTATGAATGTCTCTGCAAAGAAGGTTACAGAAAGGCATCAGATGGAACTTGTTCAGGTAGTATTTCACATTAAGTTTCTATTTCATCTCTTGGTAACTGAGGTAACTACACGTGAGCTGATAGAGGCACTGCATGGGGAATCCCTTACGTATATTGAAAATACTTTAACTACAAATCACTCCCTGCATGGTAGAGAGACCAGGCATGGCCAGTATAACCTAATCTGTCTGTGTCTCACAAGGACTGGGAACTACTGATTTCACGAATTTGATTGGCTGAAATCAATATTGAAAGCGGTCTAGATTTTCCCATCTAGACGGGCACCTAGACCGGTCTAGAAAAAAAAGGTACAAAGAATATAAAAAATTAGCATATAAGACACAGCCATATAACAAACATCTTATTAACCGAGCTAAGTCGGTCTGTATGGGAGAATCTTGACCGAGGTCAAGATTCTCCCTTACAGACCTCCCGCTCGGTTAATAAGAACTAATTATTGTTTTCAGAAATTTGTAGTCCAGAGTGCGAAAACAATTCATATTGTCAGGATGGAAAGTGTCTGTGCAAGAGGGGCTTTTCTATGGGCTTGGACTTCACATGTAAAGCAGCTCCAGGTTAGTGATCAGATTTAATGAAATAGAAAAGGGTGGGTTGGAATAGAATAGGATGGGTTGAAGTTGAGTGGGATGTAACGACAGGACAGGATAGAATATGACACTACGACAGGATAGACTTAAGACCCACGTACAAAGCGTAAGGATGATTGTCCTTTGGCCACGCATAAAATCCTTGGCTGCATCAAGACGTAGCCCATGCTATGACCGAAACACACTCAAAGATTAATGATATTTTGCAGCCATCATCTCTCTAAGTAAACTAGCCTTTGGAGCCTTGGGGAGACAACTGCCTCTTATAGGGACAACTTCATGCAATTGTTCGTTTGTAATAAAATATTACTGGTAATATGTAATAAACCATATTCTAACTTTTTCTCGTATTTTTGCAGCTTTTGTTGAATCCTCAGGCGTTTCACTCCATACTCGTGTTTTGTTCCTTATGATTGCGATTCTGTGGTTCCTGGTCCTGCTGTGGCTCATGGTACTGCTTTGAAAAAAAAAACTTATCCCATTTTATGGCTTCTTGACGTTCTATTTTTATTATTACATATTGAAACTTCAATACGCTGGATGAATGATCAAATCAAGATTTTGAAAACCAGGAAACAAAACTGAAGTGACGTGAAATCATATTAAAACCTTGTAACGATGTTGTCATCTGAAGACCAAAAACTTGTTTATCTCAGGAAAAAAAAATTGTTTATCTCAGGAAAAAAAAACTTATTTATCTCAGGAAAAAAAACTTGTTTATCTCGGGAAAAATAAACAACCTCAATTTTCTGCTTCAGTCTTCAATAATATATATATATATATAGTCAAGCCTAAAAGCAGGCCCACTGTTAGTTTATTTTAAAGCTCTTATTCACTTGTGCAGAACTTCTCAATGGCTGTTGTAAAGTGTTCTTCTCGAAAAAGGGACCAATCATTTTTTTGTTTGGTTGTGAACTTGGTTAGCCGATGTAGGAAACTCGACAAATGTGTAAGGAACGGCAGCAAAATGTGCACACATTCATCATTATACTTACAAAAAATATGCTTCTTTGAGATATGACTTCTCACAGCTTTGAGAAATCTTAGAAACTCCCATTTTACACACATGTGGAAGAGGGCTGCTACCTACTCCGCCGTCATCGTTTATCATGCTTTAGCAAATATTTCTGTGACAGTCTGTCTACCCTTAAATGAAATAACTGAAACAGAGTTCTTGCATGGGAGGTCGACTGAAGGTTTTCAGTGCTCTTCAAAGGGTTGTGAAAATGAGGCGGGATCTCAAAAATTCGATACTATAATTGGCTAGTTTGGAATGAACTACACCCCTGATGACTTGAAATCTGATTTGGAAAATCTTAAGAATCTAAGAGAATGATATGAAAATTGTGGCAGTCTTCCATCCAGGAGACATAATCCTCCAATGGGGAAACTTCTTCGAGATCATGTAGTGAAAATAGCCAAATCCCGCATCCCGCTAAACCTATTGTGGACCCTCTGAAGGGAGGGTGCTTATTTAAAACATGGCGCTTATTAGGATAGGGCGCTTATTCTTTCTCGAGAATCAACAGTAACTAAGCTTCGATGTTCACTTAAAAAGGATCAAGAAAACTAGAACATTTACTGGACGAGATCGACGTTTAAGACGATTGAAGGGACTGTGCACTCACATGGACATCAACCTCTTGAGTTGAGAGACATCAGCCTCTCTCTGTTTTTGTAACGAGGCTATAAATGAGTCATTCAACAAAGATGAACCACGGTTGATCTCAGAGTACTCGTGCTGTAACAGTGCTATCATTGAAACAGAATAGGTGCGCTTATTTAAATGAAGAGGTCATGGCCTTGAAGCGGACATGAAAGTAGTTTTTAGGTACTGTGACTTATCTACTGAGATAAATTTGGTTGGCACTTTAGTAGATATTTCAGAAGAATACATGCACTGTAAACAAGGGTGCATGATAGTGTTACCTAGCAAGGGACCATTGTAGATTTTCACTTCTCGGTATTGAAGTTCGAGACCTTCATTCTGAAGGGCAAGGGTAACAAACCGTGCTATGATGTTTTTTGGGAGAATCATAGTCTAAACAGGTTCTTTGGTTGGAGAAACTAGGCTGGCTACATGGCGTCCTTTTCCGAAAGAATCTTCACCAGCATCTGTCAATGATAAAACATCACCTAATGTTAGCTTCAACTTGACGGATTTCTTGGCAAAGTTCTTATTCGATGTGATCTTGGCATTTAAAAGTGCCTGGTTGGTCATTAGTTTAATGACCAACCAGGCACTTTTAAATGCGCTCGTGCACGATGCAAAAAGTACCCTTTCATTCACAACATTGAGAAAATATCGAGACCCAAACGATCCATTAAGATCACCGATCACTTCACGTGCACCTCCGCCAATGTAATCTATTGCATAACTTGTACTTATTACAAAAAGATTTAAATCGGCCAAGCAGGTAGAAGACTAGGTGACCGATTCCAAGAACACCTTCGCGACGTGAAGAGGAATGACAAGGACACATCGAAACCAGTCGCTAGACATTTTGATTTACCTAACCATTCTAAGCAACACATGGCAATCTGCGGTCTTTCCTTACACTTAGGTAGCACGGAAAGCCGKAAAACTCTTGAACAAAAGCTCATCTTTCAAACCGGCAGTCTAAATCCCACAGGTATCAACGAACGCTTTTCATTCCACTAATTTATTCGTGTTTTTCTCGTTGCCATGTTCCCACCAATCACGTAGCATCTTTTTCTGCCTTTAAAACCACACACAACCCCCAATTCCCCTATACGCTCCGACGAAGAGCTAACGCTCGAAACGTCAGCTTTTATAATCGTAACGGTGGCCAATTTACCATTTCAACTTTGTTCATATATTCAAATTATTTCGTTACCCCCACCGACGCAGCCCCAAACAGTTTCTTTAGAAACTATCAGCCTTCAGTCAAAAGAAAAGATCGGACGAGAAGATTAACTGAAATGTCTTCATGCCGCATTAGTGTAAACTACACCTATCGTAAGATCGATTCGACACTACGTAAATTTGTCCCCGTCTTTCTTCTATTGTTGCTGCACCCACCAAGTCTTTGATCGCAGCCTATGTATGATTCCTTTTCATTGCTTAAGGACTTTGTAGGACGAGTTCCTGCCAAGTTTACGAAGAAAATAAAATATCAAGTATGAGCAATAAATTCATTGATCACTGAAGCTCTGTCTAGAGCTTTGTCTGAGAACTGATCTTCATTAAAACATAACGAGGAAACTAAAGAGTATTCTTACTTATCTTCGTTTGGAAAACCTCCTCTTCACAGAGTTGTATATACATTGCATATTGGACTGGCCAGCAGATCCACAATCTGGTACCAGTAACTGGCTGACGGCATTCAAAGTGGTTTCCTTTTCTTGCTCCATATGCTCTGATTGAGATACAATCTTTTTCATCTAACAACAAATAAAACATGGTATTGTTTCAGTCAACTTTCAACATTACAAGCGTAACATCAGTTTGAACCATTTTCAAATGAATTGCTTGGTTTCGTAATTCTTGAGAAATGAATTCTTGGAAATTGGCCTAAAAAGGATAACTTTTGCAAAATTTACTGTCAATATCTTTTTCGTTGTTGTTAGTTTGTTTATTTTATCTATAATCCAAAATTGAGTATAATGATCTTAAAGGTAATCCTATATATGTTAAGGAGGTGGACTAGAAAGGGTGTTAAGGAGGTGGACTAGAAAGGGTTAACCTCTTCTACCTCCTTTCACAATTTTTCATGTATTTTTTGTTGCTAATGCACTGTTTGTTAGTTTTTGTTAGCTTTCTTTGTGTGATTAATTGTGAATAAATATTATTTATAATATTATTAATCCTAAATGATGTCGGTCATCATCTCCCTTTGGAGTTCCGTGGTTATAGTGAACACTTATTCTTCGAGAAGTCGTCACTAGAAAAAGAGAGAACAAAATATATGAAAAACAAGATAAAAGAAAGAATAATTAAACAAAGAACTTACCGACTTTGATTTTGACATTGTCATATTGAAATCTGGCGTGTAGCAATATGAAAACAAGCTCCACTCGAACATTTTTCACCAGGTTCACACTCCAGAAATAGTGAGCCAAGTGAAAGGTTAAGGTTTAAAACATGTGCTTGCGACCCCGTCGATAGCCAAACGACTCGCTTTGTCGTTGAAAAGAACATACGACCATTGCTTTCTTCCGATAACGTTTCCTGTCGAGAGTTTATGAGCTCAATAAAAAAAATCAACGTAGTCGTGGCTGTAATCCAGAAATCACAGAAAAGAAGAGAAATCAACTGTGTATCGAGTGAGAATATCGAACTTCTAAGAAATTCCGAAAAAAAAACAATAAGTAGCACTGGAAAACATCAGGTCAAAATTGGGTCAAGATTGGAATTCTATTGACTCACTAATTCACTTACTTTCTCATCTCGACAACGTATGTGGCTTCGCCTCTCCTAGGAGACAGCAGCCACAAAAAAACTATCGTTGCCACTCACAGACCTCAGTGAAGTCGCTCGATTCAGCAAATATGGAATACTAACTGACGATAGACCTTTTCAGCTTCTTACGTCATTGATTGGTCACGTGGTCCTAAATGGGTAAACAACGGCGCGGCCATAACAACTTTAATTGCGAAGCGTAAGGAATGGTCGACTATCGCTGCGCCTGTGTAACTGCCACAATATTTCCAAAAAATCGGATCGGTATGCTCTTGTATATGCTACGGATCCTAACCTTCAGAAGATACGCATCTATGCCATATTCCTTCAACTACTAGTCGCACGAATTTGTGTTTTAATCTGCATGAGTAAATGGTCAGAAAAATTATTTCTAATTTCTCAATTTTTAGATGTAATGGTTCCTTTTCAATTTCTTTCAAAACGGATTTGAAATTTTTTTAAAAGGTCTATCAGGATTCGCTCGTGTAATTGTTAGATCAATTTGTCTGAGAAATTTACGTTCATCAGGAAAGTCAAGGAATTTAAAAAAACCTATGACTGCGGCAATTATTATGTTAGGGATGTTTTGGTATCAACCCCTATACCGCATTGTTTCTTTCTTTATACAGGTAGTTGTTGAAATCTGCTGAGGAATACACTCATTCGTAAAACCAAGTTTCCCAAGTCAGAAGCTGAAAGTAACGAGGTTATTTATGGAATAAAAGAGCTTTAACCTGTGGTTTTTACCATATGTGCAGGCGTACACTTCAACTTCACATAATCGCAGTACTGGGGCTTCAGTAGTAATCTTGACAGAATTTACAAACACATACAGGTCAGAGCTACATTGGTAGCTTGTCTCTCGGTCGTCGACTAGAAATTTCTCAAATGCGCATTTTATGTAATGGTTCCTGTCGCCTTAAAAATAAAGAAGAAACGTAGCGGTGTACAATGAAACAAAGATAATATAGATCAAATGGAAATAAATAAAGGAGGGAGGTCAACACTTTGTCTCAAATTTAACGATATAATGAAATGTTAAATTAGAGAGAAAAGAACTATGATTATCTATATTACTTTCAGAGCACAAATTTCATTTTGTATAATTTTCGGTAAGATTTTCGCGGACAATCTGATCGATTTCTCTTACATTGTGTGCTGAGACTGAAACTTTATACCTCAAGCAAATCTCCGTCACACGACCCAAACAAACATAGCGAGCAATTGATCTATTAGTCTATGTCCGTGTTAAAACACACGAAAGGACTCTGAAAGTACACTTAACTCTGATTGGGCAGAAAAAGACAAAGATTTTCTGGCACCAATCAGATGGC